CTGAGAAAAAAGAATGTAGACCCAAGACACAAAACTGAAGCATAAGGAAAAAACAAAAAATAGAATGCATGTAGCAGATAAAGCTTTAGCTATAGAAAAATGGTAAAGCATAAAAAAAAAATTGTTCAATGTATACATACTTTAGATATTCCAGGACTGACTGGAAGAGCATGTTTCTTTTATTTCTACAACAGATTTTAATTCATTCAAAAACTAGTCAATACTCAAAACTGAATCATGTGCAAAGTTACTCTACTGGCTTTTGGCCATATCATCCCAGTCCATATTTATTCATTGATACTGCCCACATGAATCAAAATCTAAATTTTAAATTTTCCACTCTTGCTGATAAATTATTTACCTGTCTTCGGATCAATGGAGAAATATGGTTGCCCCTGAAGAATGCTGTAAACCACTCTAGCACTGTTTCCATAAGTGGGATCATCAGCATCTGTTGCCTTTACTTGAAGCACATATGCACCTGCAAAGAAACACAGGTAATCACTTTTTCAGTGTAGAGCAGTGATCAGGGATATTTCAGACACATTAGTCCTGTTGCTACTGGATTCTGTTGTAATTCTTGTTCTACTGAAAACTAGGAGAGAATAAAACAGTCAATTCTTCAGCTCCATGCTAGCAAGCATCTAGGTAACAGCTGAGGTAGAATAGGAAGGAAAGGGGAAGCAGCCCACCATCAGAAGATGTTTATAAACAGTTTATGTTTTACCCAACACATACAGGATGGAGGCCTGGGGAAGCGCAATACTGGATGTTGACAAAGGAGTATGCACCACGGTTTTGTGAAAAGGTTGACAACTGTGGAAGTAAAATATGGGAGTTGCCTTTAAAACAAGTGTTTGGTCAAGCAGCTCCTGAATCTGCCAGTGAACCAACCTCTAAGTTCTTTAGAAAAACTAAATTGCAGTCTCCTGAAGGTGGAATTCACATTCCCATTGTAGAATTAAATTAGGTGTTTGGTTCAGCCTGTTGTCTTCAAAACCCAGACTTGAGTCTTCTTCCCTTTCCAATACAGCTCAGTAGGAAACAAAAGTACTGTGGAGGAAGAACCTCCCCTTGATACTCTGTTTTCAGCCATGGTTATAGCCCAGACCTAGTGCAGTTTGCTTTATATTCCAATTTAAAGGGTACCCATGCCATGGAGCAAAAGAATGCACATGAAGACAGAAAACTCACTGTAAACGGCAATAATCTTGCAGAAATGTCTTGTCCCTCCTGCTGGTTGCTAAGCAATTTACCTGCATTTCCCCACTGCCACGTAATGAAAATACTGTTCAAACTATAGTCTTCAGCAAAAAAAAAGGCCACATATTTAGGCTTTCTCGTCAGCTTTGAAGAATTAATAGCTTCCTGTGATCTTCTGTGCAAATGAATTTTGGGATTTGCAATGCTGATTTGGTGTCAGTGAGGGTTAAGACAACTTACATGAGAAACGGCACAGGGAGGAGGGTTATCCCCATCATTTTTGTTTGAAGAAATGTTCTGCATTTGGAGGTCATCTGACATTTTTTCAAGAATATCTGTGGAATACTGCAAGCACTTAAAGACTGCTGCTTTTCTGTAATGAAAACTGCCAAGTTTCAAAGGATATTCACAATCTAAAATTAACCTTAATGGACTTGTCAAAGTTTATTTCTGGGAGTGCCTTGCTGAGAGATAGTCTGTGTGAAAGGTCCTAGAACTTAGACAGGAAAGTAGCTCATTGCAAAGATAGCTGTTTGGAGATTTTTTTTTCAGTCCCCAACCACCTCCCCCCCTCCCCCAATCTCTCCATATGAGGATCGACAGTGGTACTGAAGGGTTTGGAATTAACATTTTAAAAATACTTGCTGCATGATGGCTGGTCATACAAGACTGCTCCTGTTTATTGAACAATAGAGAATGAAAAGGTATTCCAAGATATATTCTTTCTATCTCCTGAAGAAGGCACAGAAATATAAGTGTTATTTGACTAACAATCACTTTTTAAAGTCAAGAAGCTGATCATGTTTTTAAGCTGAGGGCAAGTTTCATTAAAATCAACTTCTAAAAGAAATAAAAGACTAGCAATGAATAAATGAATGAAAATAAACCATTGAGATGGATTCAGTTAACTAAAAGCCTGAGGTTACTCTCTTGATTTTCTGGATGTGAAAGGTGAGGAATGATACATGTTAGAGAAGACCAAAGTCCAGGTTCACTATAACAATTTTGGAACAGTCAAACAGTTGTGCCTTTCTTTACATAACACATAACCATAACTGACTATACATTAAATAGCTTAGACAAGCCCAGCTAGAAGAATACAGTTTCCTACTGGAATGACAGACAGAAGCTCTCTAATACCTGTAGAGCATTTGATCATTTGATGGCTTCCATCTGTTCCTGTCCGTAAGGGGTATCTTTGTAATAGGATGTCCCACCTTCAGCCCTGTCTTCTGCTCCAGAAATTCAGGGAGCCACAGCAATAACTTAATTCTACTCCAGTGACCAAGACAGAGAAGGAAATGGCAGCTTTCAGATTTTTTCCCCTCGTCCCTCGAAAAACAGAATTTCATTGTCCTTTGGACCCTTACTGTTGTGGAAAAAAGGGAGATGTGTTCCTTCTGGAGCATTTACACTGACAAAACTTGTCATGTTCACTCACTGCACAGTACAACTTCCCTTCCTGGTATACACACAGTTGTCTTCCTTCATTGCTACAGTATCTCACTACCTTTCCAACCTAAAAAATTCAGTCTACTTTTTCCATGGAATGTCACACATTCCCAAGTCTCCCCTTGGCCCAGGACTCATGTTTCTGATGCCACACTGGTTGCTACTTCAGGGAGCTGATTTTAGTTTGTCTTCTGAGTATGAACTGACAAATTTTGTCATAATTTTACCAAAACCTTTGCTTTGTGCCTTGATGGAAGCATCATTCTTCATAAGAGAACAGGACAGTCAGACCAAGATTTACAAATGCAAGAGCAGAAAGTTAAGTTTCTTTGTATGTGCACTTATTTTTTTGAAGTGCTGAGCATTGAGACCTACCAAAGGTGAGGATTTAAAAATCTAATGTTCCTGGAAGGCTAGCCCCAACACCTGCCTTCTCACAGGTTATCAACAAAGAACTTGCAAACGCCATAATGAAGATCTCTCCAACACTTGAGACTGTCTGATAGAAACAGCAGAACTGTCACACAGAGCACTGGCCATCACCTCAAGAGCACGAATCACCTATTTTATGACTGACTGTTCACATTGAATAACTTTGGACAACAAATGTAGACAGTTAAAAGGCTCCTAAAGTCAGGCAGTGAGGAAAACCTCATGTTACCTAATCAATACTTTTGCAGTACTTTTGGACTTCAGGATATATCATCTTTATGAATTTTGCTTCACTGCACCTCACTTGCAAATTGAAAATAACACATAAGTCTATATGCCAGCTTTTTTAAAAAAAGAATTCTTAAACCTAATATTTTACTGATCTTGAGATTTGAAATCAACATTAACTGATAGATTGAAGCTGCAATGAGACAAAATAAATCATAAATGTGGTTCATTTTTAAGAAAATTATTTAAGAAAGCATTGTGCCTCAAGTACTTAAGCTGTTAAATATTAATGTTTATTTTCTATCCATTTCAGTTACAACTCTGCATCTGTAGTTATCACTATCAGGGCTTTCCTTTTAATCCTTAGAAGCTCAGATCAAGAAAAAATAATTACAATGTACTTTGAAGAGGACTGTAAGATATGCTAGTTTGCTATGCTAGGTCATATTCAGAAGGCAGATTTAGCTCTGGTAAAGTTTGTGCCAAAAATGCTGCAGTCTTTTTCTTATGGAAAACTGTAAGAACTCTTTACCTTTGTATAAACAGTGTTATTTATTCATTTTTTGTAGAATTATAGATAAAATACCAACTTATTTATTTACTATTTTACACTATCAAATCAATACCTAGAATAAATCTGATTTTGACTGCTTACGGTTAAATGACATTTCATTACTCTTGTTATAGAAGAGACCAAGAAGGAAAGATGATCTGCATTTAATAGATAAAAAACTATTTTATGTTTTGTCTCATTATGCCTACTTTTTTATGCACATGGTAGAGCATTTAAGTTCTATTCAGCTCTGCAATAAAAGATAACCCACAACAAAAAGTCATATGCAATGAATAAGATACAGCATCATGACACTGAATTAGTGGAATTCATAAATGTATTTCCTCCAGGTGAAATAAAACAAAAATACCCACCCCAAATCCAGCACTTGTAATTGATTTTGGTACTGTCCCACAAAACATCCTTGTCCCTAAAATGCAAAGACATGGATTTAACAGGTGGACCACTTGGTGGATAAGGAATTGGCTGGATGGTCACACTCAAGGAGTTGTGGTCAATGGCTCAATGTCTGGGTGGAGACCGGTGACAAGTGGTGCCCCCAGGGGTCCATATTGGGACCAATACTATTTAACGTCTTTGATGGGGCATGGACAGTGAGATTGAGTGTACCCTCAGCAAGTTTGTGGATGACACCAAGCTGAGTGGTGTGGTTGATACTCTAGAGGGAAGGGATGCCATCCAGAGGGACCTTGACAGGCTAGAGGTGGGCCCATGCAAACCTCATGAAGTTCAACAAGGCCAAGTGCAAGGTCCTGCACCAGGGGCAGGGTAACCCCTGGTATCAATACAGGCTGGGGGATGAGTGGATTGACAGCAGCCCTGCAGAGAAGGACTTGGAGGTATTGGTGGATGAAAAACTGAATATGAGCCGGCAATGTACGCTTGCAGCCCAGAAAGCCAACTGCATCCAGGACTGCATCAAAAGAAACATGCCCAGCAGATCAAGGGAGGTGATTCTGCCATCTACTCTGCTCTTGTGAGACCCCAGTTGGAGTATTGTGTTCAGCTCTGGGGCCCCCAACATAAGAAGGACATGGACCTGCTCGAGGAATTCCAGAGGAGTGCCACAAAGATGATCAGGGGGCTGGAGCACCTCCCATATGAGAACAGGCTGAGACAGTTGGGGTTGCTTATCCTAGAGAAGGGCAGGCTCCAGGGTGACCTTTTAGCAGCCTTCCAGTACTTAAAGGGGGCCTACAGGAAAGATAAGGAGGCACTCTGTTTCAATTAACACAAATCAAGAAGTACTGACTCAGTATATTCAACTTCTCTTAAGTTCCAACAGGTTTAGGTAAGAAATGCTCAATTAAGATATTCAAGCAGCCTTAATTTTTCTTGTTATGGTGTAAGTATTCACATATATTTAAGATGTTGGCATGTGAGGCATTGAATGTGTTAGTGGAAGGATTTTTAATAAGCAAAGTTGGTAATGTTCTGTAAATTTAATCCATACAGTATCTCAGGAGACTGAAACAACAGATTCAGCAGTAAATGTGTTTATCTGTTTTTGCATATTCAAAGCAAAGCTACTGTAGCTGAGAATGGATTTTGGAGCTCATCCCCTATTCCATCATTTGTTTCCTAAGCCAGAG